GAAAGGCCATTTTCATCATTCATCTTTTTTAGCTGGAGGCGCAATTGCTGCTGCTGGTGGAATCAAGGCTCAAAATGGAAAATTAATGGAGCTGAATCCAAAATCCGGCCATTATAAGCCTTCACAACTTCATTTCGATGCTATTGTCAATCGATTGAAAAACGAAAATGTTGATTTGAGTAATGCAAAGTTGACTTACCCAAACGAAAGGATTGAGAAACATCTAATCGCCAAATATAAAGTCAAACGGTTTGCTGACCTGGCATTAGTTTATGATCAAATTGTACATGATGCTAGTAATATGATCAATAGAGAAATTGATCATGTAGATCGTCATGTTTCAAAATTTTCGAGCACGTTCAGAAAAAATGTGAAATCTTTTACTCATGAAGTAAAAGTATCTTTACGAGAGTTGTTTAATAGAAAGCTTGACAATGATAAGGATGATCAAATTGAGGTTCAGGCATTGAATACAAACGATGGTGATTCCTGTAAAAGTGGCAACATTTCCAATGAATTGCCTGAAGGCAAAATTGAATCTAACATTATCGAAGAAGATTCTAAAGTGAATCAAAGGCGAAAGTCCCACGGGATCTTTCACGAGTTCCGCAGAAGTATTTCATCAAGCATTTCATCACTTTCATCAATAATTTTTGGACAAGATAATAAGACAGACAATGACTCGAGCACAGGAAGTAGACGCTCATCATTTAGAGATAGCGGAGATTATCACCAAAAATCACGCTTGATGAATTTCAAATTAGGACATAGTAAAGATGGTGAAAATCCTACCAAATGAATTATTTTTTGTATTCTATACAATTCTAAAAAAATTCTGATTAATTAAGCATGTATATATATAGTCATTTGTTATTTTTTGATTTTCTATTCATTTATTTATATTTGTAAAATTACATATTTATTTAATTCATAATATTTCATTCACTTTTGTAATTTTATTTTTGATAGTTAATGAAATAAACATGAATTTAATAATTTAGAGATAAAATATTAGTAATTTAGATAGTAAAAATTTAAAAATAAAATATCAAATAATTTAAAAAATGACAAAAATAGTATTACTAAACTTTAAATAAGCATTATTTTTTAATCTGTATATAAATTCGGAACAAACTTGCTCAAAATTTGTAAAATAATCTTTTTT